CGACCCTCAGATTACGAGTCAAGCGCCCTAACCACCTGGCCATGCCGGGCGAAATAACTTGTTTATTTGTTAGTTATTAATAACAAACCTACACAATAGGCTATCTGTGCTCCGGCTACCACAAATATCAAAACCCAAATTTTAGCATTATAAGCCCTCATTTTTTCTCCTGAGCCATAGAGTTTAGATAGCAAAATTTGCAGAAATACTATTATTTAACTAAAATTCACAGATGATTGAAACACAAAAGGTTTACACTAACCCTCAACTTACAAAGTTAAGATTTACAGAACAGTATAATCCACATATTATTTGATGCTTTAAAATTGAACACATACTTGTGCACCCACAATACCGTTTCCACCATAGAAATTATCTGAATACATGTGCATGGATCCACCTTTACCTCTCGCACAGCCTTTTTCTCGACCTGTGGATAAAACAAATATTAATTTATTTAACTCTTTTCTCAGTGGCAAGTATTTATATCACGATCTTTCAGAGTGTTACATTCAAAACTTTAATTCAACCACTTTATTATCAATGTACGTCAGTAAACTTGGCAAGAAACATTGGTTTATAATTCAAAATTTTATATTACTATCTGAATTATAACTTTTTAATCTAAAAAAAAATTTAAAGAAAATTATCAATCTTTATTCTAATGTGTCTAAGCTCCAACTCCTCGCCTTCAGAATTTTCTAACATTAAAAACAGGATGCAGTAGTTCCAACCAATTAGAAACAAACTATATATAATTTGCACCTCCTACCATCTTGATTTGCTGAGGTGTCAGATATACATTTGTCAAACCTGCAAGAGAAGCCCCTCCCCTCTCACTCTGATTTTAGACATTGATTACTAATCGATTTTAAACAGCTAATGAACGTGTTGATAATAGGAAAGGCAAAATCTCCTCTACAGAAAGCTAGATACTGGTTGTTTAGTTTTGATGCCTGCGTTATTTACTTGACTAAAGTCTTTAGATGCGTGATCATTACATTGCTATTCCGAACATATAACCAAATTTTTTTAGCCTATTTATAGCTTATATAGAAAGCTAGATAAATTATTGTAGTTTTGGGAGATTCTATTCTAGTTATCGATATATTTTTGTGTTCTAAAATGCACATTTGAAACGTACGTGAATTCTTTTTGTTGGACACTCAAATTTTTGATATTCAATGAGACTTATGAAAGAAAGTATATTTAAGTTAACTTTGCTTCAATAAGTACAACAAATTCATGTTTTTTTATGTATATTTTTAATTTATTGTTACACATTTCTTAACAAAAGTAAGTAAAATTAAGCCTTATTAGGCTTAGACGGTACATTAGATGAACACAAAATACTCTGTTGACTCAACTTCTTATTCATTGAAAAGGAACCAAGTTTATCTTAACCAAGATCACTGTTAGCAAGCATTTTGTTACCTAATGTGACCTGATACCAATTTGTGGTCAGATTGTAGGTTCACCAATCTTTATCCATTTTTGCTGTTTTATGATTTATTAGCCGCAAGTGATGGATGGTAAAATAATAATAAAATGTCACAGAAGTATATCAACAAATACTGATGAACTTGAAAGTGAGGTTTTTGATCAACAATAAAAAAAATCTAAATTCTCAGATGAAAAGTAGTATTTTTAATGTTTTTAAAAAGGGGTCTCTCTCAACAATTAGTTTTTTTTTAAAAAAGAGGTCTCTCTCAACAATTAACGTTTTTTTTTAAAAAGAGGTCTCTCTCAACAGTTAACATTTTTTTTTAAAAGAGATCTCTCTCAACAGTTAACATATTTTTTTAAAAAGAGGTCTCTCTCAACAGTTAATGTTTTTTTTAACAAAAGAGGTCTCTCTAAACAATTAATGTTTTTTAACAAAAAGAGGTCTCTCTCAACAAAATTCTGAAAATTTCACAAAATCAAAAATTTAAAATGATAGAAAAAGTATATCAAATTGTATGTTTCTTTTTATGTCAAAACCGGATACTATTTGGTAAATGTTTACTAACATGTATTTTGGTTAAGTATTTTTACTGTGAAAATGAAAAAAAAGTCAAAGGATGTCAATCACTATGGCTCCTCCTCTCCTAAGTCTAGCAAGGATGGAATGAAAAATAAATATTAATAGCATTTCAGTTTAAACATCCTGAAGCACATCCACTCCACAGTACAAAAAACACTAACCTAAAAGGGTTTGTTTGTTTGTTATGGATTTCTCGCAAAGCTACAGGAGGGCTATCTGCGCTAGCTGTTTCTAATTTAGCAGTGTAAGACTAGAGGGAAGGCAGCTAGTCATCATCACTCTTGGGCTACTCTTTTACTAACAAATAGTGGGATTGACCGTCACATTATCACCCCCCCCCCCCATGGCTGAAAGGTCGAGCACGTTTGTTGTGACGGGGATTCGATCCCACGACCCGCAGCTTGCGAGTCAAGTGCCCTAACCACCTGAAAGGGTCACTGTGTTTTTCTCTAAAAGGCTATATTTAACGGATGCGTGTTATTAGTACCTACATTTCGTAACGTAGTAATTACCTGTAAGTTCTGCAAGAACTGCCTCTATGCTAACTCCTCGTATCCAGGTCCATCCATGAGCTCTGTAAGCTGTGATCACCTTATCAGTTTTTCTATTGCAGCTTCCATGCCTACAGCACAAGCTTCCTAGAACGTAACCATAACCACGCACTCTCACTTAATGAAACCTTTAATCAACTTAAAATCAAACCAGAACAGGAAGAAACACAAGATTTAGTGTACAGCAAGATACTGATTTCAGAAGAAAAAAATAAAAAAGCCTCTTATTCACTTCTAGCTTCTTACAATCACTCACTTCTAATGAATTTCATCATTTCACGGATAATTTATTAAATTTTATAATTAACTTTAGATGTGAAACTTCACATTATTTGGGCATACAGTAAATGTAAAACATATTTCATTCATTATATATATATATATATATAACTGGATAAACTTTTACAACTACTTCAGAATTTTTCCTTATCTAAAAATGTACCGCAGATAAATATTCACCTCTATACAGAACAGACAGCTAATACCCTGTGCCATTGCCAAAATGTTTTTGTGCATGCTACAAGCCTTTAAACAAAACTTCCACCCCTACACACATAAATAACACTGGTCGACAAAATCAAACTTTTTTCACTCCTCAGAGATGTAAACACACTTTTCTATGCTGATTTCAAATCTGTTTTCCAGTCTTTGTCTAGCACATCTAGTTATTGAAATATGACTGGTGTTAATTTGAGCACAATTTAGGTAATAATCACACATTGGGCTAGTTAACGTTACAGTTTTATTAATTTTTATGTATAATTCCCATAAACGTTATACACACCATACACTTGGTTAAATTTATACAGTACACACTTATGAAAAAAGAAACGTACAACAACTTGAATTATAATTAAGGCAATAAACTTCCAAATTTGATCGGTCTTATCACGAAAACCAAAAACAGATTTGGAATAAGCATCCAAAGAGCTATCTAGCCCACCTATAATTACATCTAATGAATCTGACTTGTTGGCCAATTTAACATTTGCTCCTGAAGATAAAAGGTCCACCTTTCAAAATCACTCCCAACATCATGAATGTAATAATGTGTAACAAGGCCATCTTTGATGTAATCAGCATTAAATTATACCCCTCAACCAACAGGAGGATGCCACATCCTCCACGTGTAATGCTTCTTGATGAGTGGGGAGGAAGGGTGGGTGGTTCCATGAGGAGGCGAGTACCTATCTGAAACACAGCTAAGGAAAATGTAACTTTAAAAATGCTACTCATCAAACCACAGAAGAGATAACTAGAATCCCATACTGAGAAGATGGTGGAGAGACTGGTGTAGATATAGAACTTAAAAAGATAAGCGACTTTCTGGGTATATAATGAAAGAAAGAGAATTTTCATGGAGTCTCCCATTAAAGGGGGCCTAGTGGTAGCAACAATCGGTGAGAGGCCACATCCGTTTCAAGCAGGGAATACCGTTTTTGCCCAATACAAGTGGTAGATCAGAATGGTAATGTCGAAAGAGCCTCCTGCATGGTGATAAAGTGTTGTAATGGTGGGTGGAATGGAAAAGTTGCTCAACTGGCCTGAATAACTCAGGGATTCAGTGCGTCATAGAAGTGTAGTAGTGTGGCAAGGGCAACAAGTCAGTCTGCACAGTATTAAGAAATACATGATGAACTTAACAGACTAAATAAGTGAAGAGATAAATCATCTGAGAATTGCATCCCAAGAAGAATTTAAGACCCATCTAGCTGGCCACAACAACCAGAAATTGTTCGAATTTCACTATAGGGGATGTCCTGTACTACACTTTCAGGTAGACACCCTTGTCCTACTTCCAATTCAGAGGTGCATCCAGTCGGTCTCACACCAACTTACAGGGAAGTTTTCCATATTGACCTCGCCATGTTTTGGTACTGAAGGAGAAAGGATTCTCCCATTCCACTAGAAGAAACTGGGATGAAGGAATTTGCATAGGGGAGAACACTGAAGAGGTGCATTGACTGAACAGTAATAATCTATATCAGATATCACAGTAAGATATTGCAATGGATTACTGCAAAAATGGACAGCAGGAGATGGCAAGGTAAAGACAGGAAAACACACCCAATGCTGTTCTTTGTGCAGTACAGCTGGAAAGTAAAATATATAAACTACCAAAGTAGTGTTGCAGAAAGCAACATCTCAACAGCAGGCACTTAAAAGTCGGCAATGGGCTTAGCATTTTCTGTTATCCTCTACTAGTGTTGCAGAAAGCAACATCTCAACAGCAGGCACTTAGAAGTGGGCAATGGGCTTAGCATTTTCTGTTATCCTCTACTCAGTGAAGATTACGGGAGAGAAACGTATTCCCCATCGAGGGTCATCCACAACCCTGCCTGCAGTATCTCATTCAGGGGACATCAACACCCAGAGGTAAGAGAAGTTGTAAGATGATGAATTTGATGGGAGGTGACATGCAGAAAACAAAAGAAATCATCTTCTGCAGAGAAATGAATAAGTCAGATGAATTGTTTAATCTAACCGGTCAAGGTAGAAGAAGATAAGTATCGAGAATAAAAGGAATCATACAGCACATTGTACTGCCCACATTTCAAGAACACTGATGCGAAAAGACTGCTCTGTAGGAAACCAAACATCAAAAATGGCAAAAGTATCCAGAACCACTCACCATCTGGCTACAAAGGCATCAGTGAACAGGTGCAAATTCAAGCAGGAAAAATGAGAAAAGATGGAGAACAGGGTGTATTCTGCTGATACACCAGTATCTAATGGAGACAAAGTATAGCAAGAAAAGGAGGCATGACAGCCTTGAAAATTAGAAGCTCCATGTCTTGAAAAAACAAGGTGATAAAGACTCCCAAATGAAACAAACACTGAATGGAAGTCAGTACTAACTTAAAAGCTTGACCAGTCAACCCAAACAAGCAGACTCATGAAAGAGAAGGGGGGGTCAAGACAGGACTAAAAAATGGCAAATGTCCAGATAGTGGTGGACTTAACTGAAAGAGACGGGTGTGAGCCTTGAAAGACAAAGAAAGTAAATCCACAGGTAGATAAAATGTAAGATCCAAGATTCTACATATACAGAAGTAAAGGTTAGTGCCAGAAATAACTGATCACTGAGCCCCATGATGGCTGGCCTCTCAGGAGGGGAGCACCAGGAATGGGCCACAAAATGAGGATCTCCCCCTAAAACTTCTGCATGATGGGAGGGTGCCAAATAGTTTCCTGAGATAAAACTGAAAAAGTCTAACTCCACAGAATAAGACATCTTAATGAAGCAAGTCCCAGAAACAAAGAAAGCAAATGAAATTAGAAACAGCTAAATAGAAAACAGGGAAACAAAGAACAGGTTACTGTGATCTTCCCAAGTAAAGCTGTAAAGGAAAGGCTAAAAAGAAAAACAAGCTAAGATGGTGAGTAAGCAAAAAAAAAAAAAAAAAAAAAAAAAAAAAAA